ACTTTTTTCTTACGATTATTATACCTTAAGTTTTGGTATACTTTGATAATATATCTGAAAAAATGACTGAACAATCCAAGCTTTCAGAGTTCTTCGACGCCCCCGCCCCTTACTATTGTGAGTTCAAAGCCTCTGATATAGGTGCATCTTTATATAAAATTTGAGATGATAGTGTTAGGCCAAGGCATTTTCTAGGCGCAGATAATGCGGATGAGATAGAAGCAATACTCTTAGATCGTGAAAGCCATTCTTTACATGAATTCATCAATAGGGATGAGCCACTCCGGCCTATTATAGATTTTGATTTACCACAAGAAGTGCTTGATACTATTAAACCTAAGCTATCACGCAAAGAGGTACTAGATTTACTTATTCTTGCTTTTAGAAAGACATGTTTAAAGATATTCCCAAAGTGGAATCCTAAAACTATAGTTATTGTCAGTAGTAGTGATGTGAAAAAAATATCTCTCCATATCTCAACTTTCTGTATGAGACTTTCAAATATCGCTAAGGCTTCAGTTTTCACTGAACTTATTCATAAAAAACTTCCAGTAGTATTGCAGAAAAAAGGTATTATCGATAACATAGCAAATATAGGTCCTTCCAAATCTTTCTCTTTGCGAATACTTGGATCACCTAAATACGATAAAAAAACAGAGGAACATGTTCGTATAAAAAAAGCTATCTATCCAAAAGATGGAACTATCTTTGATTTCATGATTCGTCCGCCCAATGATGATTTTAAAATCATTGATAGTCCTCTTTTGGCCGTTTCAGAGTCAGAAGTTAAAAGATGCCTGACCAATGAAAATGAAAATAATGATATAAGTAGCGAAACCACTCAGGCTGAATTCAACTTTGTGGAATCATTACTTGGAGAAAATGGCATAGAAGGATATAGTCTTTCATACCCATCTGAAGACTTTCCTGACAAATTTCCATTATCACGCATCTCTTCATCACACTGCCTATTATATAATCGGGAGCATACTAGTGATAATGCATATATTATACGAAATAAAAAATCATATAGCTTTAAATGTTACCGCGCAAATCATGAACGAAATCCTGGAATGATAAATCCCTCAATAAAGCTCACTATTAGTGAAACTGCCTTGGATCGAGAACAAAAGCTTCCAAGTCCTGTAAAACTAGAACGATCCAGAATTACAAATCCCAACGATCACTTTGTATAGTGGAATTTAATATCCATATGTACTTCTAAAAAAAGATTTTCACGAAATGAAGTATATAATGCAATCCAAGCAACAATTTCCTGCGTTCAAAAGAATTCAAAAACATGGATTCTTAAGCATAAAAAATCTGATGGTAGCCTATACTTCGATATGGGCTCCAAGTTAGATATCAGTAAATTAACCATTAATATCGTCGAGTTAGGTGGGGAAGCTATAAAATTACAATCTTTACTGGAGAATGCATTCAATACTGGTTTGATTGCTTATGTAGATATCGATTTTCTACCATATCCTCCAAATGCTATTCCACCAAAAACTGAATTCTTTAATCTCTTTTTAGAATTCAAAGCAAAGCTGACTTCCCATATTAATTATGACCTAGTGAATCTGATCATCTGGCATATAGAAAATATCTGGTGTAATGGGGATAAAAAACTTTCTGAATATGTTCTAAAATGGTTCACATTCCTGATTCAGTATCCAAGTACAATCCCTGAAACTATTCTTGTATTGCGTTCTCCACCACGTTGTGGAAAAAATATTATTACTGATTTTATCCGAAAAAGCTTATTCAGTCCAGAGCTTGTTTATTCGACCTCTGATCTAGGGAAGATTCTTAGACGATTTAATAGTCCCATTCAAGCACGAAAACTTATTATTATGAATGAAACGGGAATGGCTAGTGGAGAATGGCATAAAGCGAATGATCACTTGAAATCTTTTATTACAGAAGACTATGTTTTGATTGAGCGTAAAGGTCTTGAATCACAGGAATGCAATCATTTCCCTAGATTTATGATTCTAAGTAATCACGATGCTCCAATTCGAGTGGAGTTAGGGGATGGACGTATTGTATGCTTAGATGTCTCCCCTCACTGTAAAAATAATTTCACATATTTCGATCAGTTGGGAGGAATTCTTGAGCATCCTGATACGCCTGGATCTTTTATGTTATATTTGCTTAGTCTTAATCTTTCAGAATGGAAACCACGAAAGATTTCTTTAACTAAAATGAAGATAGAAACCATGCAAGACCAACTTCCTAATCCCATTCGATTTATAATTGACTATATTTCCTTATAGAGTGAGGATCAAGTAGCTAAGCCAAGTTGTACATCATTATACCAGAACTATGTTGAATGGTGTGAAGGAAATGGTGAAAAGCCATTTTCTAATAACATCCTTGGCAAAAAATTCTCACAGATTAATATTGAACGTAAAAGGGCAAGTGGTGGAAGAAGGGAATGGCTATATATTCTTGACCACTCCAAGATCGTAGCCAAGCTCCGTGAATCTGGCTTAGGTGATATCGAAGAATTTTCCGATATACCTCAACCTGACTTACCTGAAAATGAGACAGCAGACATACCCATATTCAATATGCCAGAAATTATTCCCCAGAAAATAACTCCGTCTCAGCTAGTAAAAAATGAAGCCGAACCTCCAGTTGCCTCCACTTCTAAAACTATTAGGCTTCTGAACTATCTGAGCTAGTAATAGATGAACTTGAGACTAGCAAGCTTCCTGAATCTATTGAGCCTATCAATGAAGAAGTGAATATGCCTCCTAAAGAGACCCTAACCAATTCTTCTAAGCCCGTTACTGAAGTATCGTCTGCTATACTCCTAGCTAGACAACAGCGAGAAGAGTGTCTCAGAAAAAGGGTAGTCGAGCTCAGTAAAGATCCTGAAAAGTTCGTAACTATCACAGAAAAAGATAAACACGATTCACTCACATTCCGGGATAGGATGAAAATAGATTCAAGAATGTATGGTTAGGCTATAGAGATAGAGGATGATCCTAAAGAAGATATGGATATAACGGTACGTGAAAGATTAATAGGGGAAGAAATAATCCGTCGCAGGCTTGAGGATAAGAGAGTCACAACTTCGTGGCTTGATACTGATGAGAAATGGAAAAAAACCATAAGCATACTCCAGGAGAATGGTATGCTTTGGTAAAGAGCGAATAAGAGTGGATTAATAAATATTAGTAGGAATAGGAACTTTCATTCTTTACAATTAGGTGATATAAAATTCCAAATTATTATTTTTTTTTCGCTTATCTTATCTACCTACAATTTTCAAATAGATGTAAAACTCCCCGGTCAGAGCATACTTCTTCACTCCTCTGTTATTTTCCTTTTTCGAAGAAGTATAGCTCTGAGGGAATTTTTCGAATTGAATTTTTTCTCACATAATATAAGTAGAAGAAACAACTGAAGTCTACTTATATCGACATGTCTACTGCAGAACCTATCCAAAAGGCTCAGAAAGCAAAAACTAATAAATTCGTTTTGATTCTAGAACAGTTCTTAGAAAGATATAACTTATCCATTAAGTCAACTCCAGAACAATTAAGCGAACATGCTTCCGAACTTAATGCTTTACTTCCGGATTGGAAGGTCAGTAAGTGCGTTAAGGAAGCCCTTGCGAGAGACACTGAAAAAAGAAGTGTATTTAGTAAAGAGCAGATAGGAGCTCTCGTGTCAGATCAGAGAAATAAGATATATTCTGTCAGGAAAAGGGCCCAAGAAGTCGCTAAAAGTGAAGATAAGTGGGATATTTTCATTAATACTTTATCTTTGGGACCAAAAGGAAATAAGGATGGAGTAATTGATGATAAGAAAATGGTTGCTTCTAGCTCAAACCAATCACGATTTCGTAAGTATTTAGCAGAGTACGGGACTGATCCTAAACTTATTGATCGCTATGCCAAAGATTTGAAGACCACTACAGCTTCCAACAAAATCCAGCAAGAGCGGACTGAGAAGCGCTTGGCTAATCCAGGTAGAACTCCAGAACATTTCACCTTTGAGAAAGTGCTTAGGAGACTCCAGAATATCGATACTTCTAAAATTCCCTCTATGCAGGATCTCGCGGATGTGATAGTGATGCTGAGCATGAGGCCTGCTGAAGTATCATCTCTCCAGATTATTAATTACAAACCAGATTCTGAAGATCTGCCAGCATGGTATAAAGCTGGTTATTCTTGGTATTGCACTGAATGTTGCAAACAGAGAGATAAACCGATGCCTATACGCTTACTCTCTATGAAAAAGGATCCAGAATGTGCTAGAGAATTACTTACCTGGATTCAAGACGCTATTAAGGCTAAGAAGTTACGTGATCCAGTTTATACTGAAACTGGAAAGCGTAATAATGTGCCATTTGCCAAATTCATAAAGAGTTTAAAAACTAATTAGGACAAAGATGAGATTACCCCTGAGCTTCTAAGAAAAATAGGAGCTAAACATGCCTCGATGGTTCATGTTGGTCCAAATCCAACCCCTCAACATCTCAACAATCTTTTAGAAATCGCATTAAGACATAAAATTAACCGTCTTGATGCAGGGAAAAATTACGCTTTAGGTGATCCCAAATCGAAGGAGCCCATATCTGATTCCGATTCTAAACCTGAGGCAAGTAACAGTCCAAAATCCCAAACACAGGCATCTTCGCCTGCATCTCAGCCTGATCCAAAAAAGTCTCAGACTATAGAAATGGATTCAATATTAGCTGAAATTGATGCAATGTTAGCTGAAATTTGAAAATAAATTCCTCACTTATGCTTTGGTACTGCGGGAGATAAGCTAACTGTTTAGTGAAAATTTTTTTTGAAGTTGATATATAGAAATAATCAGAAAACTTTTCTCCTCTCTCTTGATTTGTCGATCTCCTCCTTTGCATCCATTTTTCTCATGTTCATTCGAAAAAAGAAAAGCTATCTTGATAGGCTATCAGATAAACAAACAGGATAGACGAGCTCCTGCAGTGTCGAAGGTGCAAAAGAGGGATAGCCTTTTTTCAGCTGAATGGCGAACATGAGAAAAAAAGGAGATAGCCTTTCCCTTTTCTTGACAAATTTCAGTGAACATTGTTCGCCTAAAATCATGTGAATCTTTTTTCGAATAAATATGAGAAAAAGGGATCTTTGGTCGAAGTAGGGATTACCATATTTGTCTCAGGAGCTTTCATGTTTTGTGATGATCATAACATCCGGGAGTGTACAGTTCGCATTACACAAAATTGATCTACAATGAACTTCCAACTCATGATACTGCTCCCTAAGGGTTCAGTGTCATGATCTAAAGTGAACACCCTTCTACGCGTATTCTGCTAGAAGTGTCATATGATACTGTTCCCTAAAGGTTCAGTGTCAAGTGATCCTCTACATATATACTATTAGAAGTGTCATATGATACTGTTCTCTAAGGGCCCAATGTCATGATTTATAGTGAATATCCTTCTACATATATAGCGTTAT